CCCCCCCGTACTCTTCAATTGCAATAAACATTCGCGTACTATACAAGCTTCGATCATCGATCTTCTAATTTTCTTTGCAGCACCTAACTCTCGACTAGAACGTAATCTGATTTTCGTCGTACTGTAATGGTTGTCACAATTTTCAGTGTTCACGCAGGATATCAACGTATTATCTATGATTTGTAAGTCGTTGACCTATAAGACAGTTGCATTGATCAAAGATCGTTTTATCGTGTCACGAGACAAGATTTGTGTTCGAAACCTGTTCGTTTTTTCATTTCACAACACGCCTTTGACATGAAACTTTTCATTTCCATCTTCTCTTTTTTCGTGTCAAAGAGACGATTTTTTTTTTTTTTTTTTTTCAATTTCGGTTTCTTTCGTATTTATTCGCCTGTTTCCCAGTGTCTTCGAATCACGTATATATTTCCCTCGACGATTACAGTTTTTTTGCACAAAATTTTTGCGACTTCCCAAATTTCCCGAATATTCCGAATATTCGCTCGCGACTTGGCGTTTACGTAACACAATGGTGAAAGCTGAATCCAGCGTAAACTTTGGCTTCGTACTTGGCGTTCAACAGAGAAGTAGCTTTCGAGAAATGAAGGAAACTTTTTTGAGAAAAAGTTACATCGATACGATGATGTATAAGTTACGCAATACCTTGTTTAATTTAAACACCGTGTTGAAATTCGGTGTCCTTAAAATATGCGAGAGCAGCGCCGAATCCTCAGAAGCAGCCTCTCGACCCTTAGGCCATTTCTAGGTAATTTGGTTTCTTGTAAAGTGTCCAAACCGACGTCGTTTGCCTTTCGAAAAATTCCCATTGAAATTTGTAAAGGTAAGCAGTTTGAGAAATTTCAAAATATTCAGCAACACGCGCATCTCTTTTTCAACTGCTTCCACCAGTGTATTTAACTTTGTAACTTTCCATCCTTCGATCGTCCCTTCGTTTGGAAAAATTCGTGAAAATTGAAAAGTTCGACTCGTGACACGTCAGAATGCTTTGCCTTCTAAGGCAAATTATGCCGACTGGTATAGTTGTTCCTCGTTAACTCGTTCTTTTGCCAAAAATGAATGACTGAACATCAGTCAAGCGAAGCCATTTTGTTCTCAACGTGCTGTTGAGATTTTACGCTTCTCGTTCTGTGTTTTTTCGATTAAAGTCTAAATATAAATTGTGTATAAGTTGTATAGTAAAGAGTATAGTAAAGAG